TTAAGGGAAGTACAAGTCATAGGCAAGAATATATTAAGGTATAACTATTGGCTTACTTATTAATTATTATTATTATTATTATTTTTTTTTTAACGAGGTGTCCCAGCTTATGCCAGACTATATCCTCGTCCCCGAACTTCCGGCCCCTCAGTAGCTCAGGGAGGTAAATCGCGGGATGTGCCCAAGTTGACCATGGTTCGAACAGCCTTTATACTCCTGACCCCAAGGGAACCTCCTCCATAGTTATTACATCACCAAGCTGCTCCAACCCTTCCTCTGGTTATTACAACACTCAGCTGCTCCAAACAGGAATCGAACTCTCCACGCTGGGGTTGCGAGCCCCGCACTATCCTTCCTTTACCAACTTGGATGTGCCCCGGGGGGCTACATATTAATTTTATTTGATAGAAAGGAGAGCAAGTCATAGACTACAAATTAAAAGTATCTTCAATGCAATTATGTATTGCCTAAAAAATTTATCACGTAAGCAAAAGTATGCCGATATTTAAAAAAAAAAAATCGATGCAAGTTAACAAGAACTCTGTCAAACTGACGCTACCATCAAAATAGACAACTCTATTACAAATACTAACTTGACAATTTAATTGATTTTTTTCTAGAGTATTAGATTTTCTCTTTTCCACTCTATTTATTATTTTTATTTTAATGTTAATAAAACACTCGTGTGCCAAAAACATTGAAATATAGATAAAATTATTGAAAAATCAATTTTAAACTTGATAATATATTTATAGGACATCAGTATCACATCGATCGAAAATTAGACTACTTAAATGTCAAATAAATTATAATCAACGGAAGACATTGAAGATGGTCTAAACTTTAAACTCAACAATTTTATAGTGAACTTATGAATCGTTTTTCATTATTCTATTTGATTCATCCCTTTTTATTTTACTATCACAGTTAAACATCCTCGTCTCATTAATAAAAATAATTGTTCCCTTTAGTTTTCTTCCAATTTATTTATTATAGGTGAAGGCCTGCAAAGTGCAAATAACAAAAAGACTTCAAAAATCAAAGCATATATCTCTCAAATACATTCATGAATCTATTAGCAGAATGGCATGAAATTTCCTTCTCTCATATTTTTTCTTAGCAAGTCAGAATTGACATAACAGAAAAGAAATCCATGAGATTTAACATAAAAACAATCACAAGTACATTATCCATGCCCGTTAACACAAAACACCAACAGCAAACATAAACCAGATACTACACGAGATTGATCGATCAAGCTTAGAGTAAATTAATGTGATAAACGACAGATCATTTACATTGCTTCATTGGTCTTAACATGTATAGTTAATCCAGTAATTCTTACAGAACGACTAGTTTCCTATGTAAATGGTCTCCAGCCAAGCTCAAATCTCCGTCATGGTCATGTTCATGGAAAATGAGAGTCAAGATTCCAACTAAACATAGAACCGAACCTACAAGAAGCTTGTCATAGCGTTCAACCCAGTGGAACTTGATCTGGCTTGCACCATAGAACGAGAGGGCCACCAGCGATGTCATAACAGCTATTGTGCTGCAGATCCAAAATCACAATCTTATGTCTTGTTCTGTCGATGTACAGAAATTAATAGCAGTTTAAAATGTAGAGCTATCAGAAGTTGATGAACCACAAAATGCAGGCAACTCGATGTGACATTCATTAGCTTAAAAAGCACAAAACCATGCTTCGATCCTTGAAATCATCCCAGTATTCAGAAACTTAAAATCCTATGGCTATGGTTTGAAATAGAAAGATTTGGCTTTATGGATTCGAAACTAGATAGGGACAAACAATTTGGGTAGATTTCAGAGTTTTTACGACCTACACATTACTAGCAAAATCAAAATGGCTACACGATATGAGCATGTCAAGCTAAGTGTGAAAGCATGTGTTGCTTTTTAAACTTATAATTAACTAAAAAAATTACTTGCTTGAAACTTGAAAGTAAAATAGGGATGAGTTGACCGATAACAAAATTTTATTTTAAAACTAAAAAATTTCCTTATTTGAAAGTAAATCAGGGCTTATTCTACCAACAACAAAATTATTTATTTTGAAACTTATTAACATAAAACCAAACTTGTAAGTAAATATTTTAAACCTAGCCAAACAAGTGCATCCACATTTTTTATTTTTCAAAACTGACAGCAGTAACTATTTTCAGTTGAAAGACCACAAAATTGCTGCAGGTCCCAAATGTTTATAATATTATCGTAGCAAAATCTAAATAATTTGTTTCAACCAATGAAATCTCAATCAGCTATTTTAATGAATACAAGTTGCCTAGATGTAACTAGTAAGCCTCCGTTTGGCAAAATTTATATATCATTTATAAATGGTCAGTTTCAACCACAATCAAATGGACCTAAGTTCTATCTACTTCACCACCCATTTCTATTTAATTTATAAATTAAAACAATGTAAATTATTACTGAAAGGAGGCTGAGAAATGATAGGGTGAAACATAATAAAGTAAACATTAGATACTAAACATAGAAACTGTACCTGCATAACAGAACTATGATAGCAAGCACCATCATAGAAGATGAGTTTCCAACAGCAAGAAATACGGGAAGAGTAGTTGCACAAGGAGACAATGCAGGGACAAGAACAAGACCAGCAACGGCCATTTTTTCCATGGGTTGGTTGTGAGAATGGCTATGACCACCCTTTCCAGACAGAAACAAAATGATGTAACTGCCCCCAAGAACTATGAGTAACAAAGATGCAAGTTTATGCACGGTTTCCTCCCCCGCAATTGTGTTTGATATGGTAACTGCTGTTATGCCAAGCAATGAAGTGGATAATACATGCAATACTGCTCCAAAAGCAGCTGCATGCAGATTATCAATTAGAATTGATCAAAACTAAATATGCATGTAACTAAGTCATATAACCCATATTGGCATCCATATATGACTCGCACTAAATTCAAGAATAATTTGATGGCTACTTCAAGGAAAAAGGGTAAAGCATAAGATGACACTACAGCTAGTTAAGCATCAAATGAGTACCCAAATTGAGAATCTTAAACCTATATCTAGATACAACCAATGTCCATTAGAACAAGAAGTAACAAAAGTAGATATGGTGCAACTCTATGTCCCCCAACCATGGCCACTAGATTCAACCATCAAGCCCCGAAATGGTCCCTGCCAATCTCTATCTCACCTTACGTAATGTCCACTGTGCGTTTCTTTCGTGTCCCTAGTTGGTCAAACCCATGACCTCCCTTAACTAGCACTTAAGTTGAATGTTATTACCAATTGAACAACGTTTGGTATGTTAGTGATGCGAAAGAAAACCACGTTGGGGCACAACTCTTAGTGGGCAGTTTTAGGCATAAAATACAGAAAGAATCCGCATGGAGCATGTCAAGGCTTGATGGCAAAATCATGAGGCCATGGTCAGGGGACTTGCCATTTCATATGGCATGGCCATTGAAACGTTACAGCTAGGGATGGGCATTTAACCCGCAAAATCGACCAACCCAAACCAAACTGATTTGGGTTGGGTTAGTTTGCAATTTTACTGAAGAAACCCAACACAAAAAACCCAAATCGAGAAAATAATAAAATATTAACTATAACAATAAACTATGTAACTTTGCAAATTGACCGCTACATGTCTCTCATTTTTGTGTTACATTTTTTTTTTTTTTTTGTTTTTTTCTTTTTTTTTTTTTTTTTTTTTTTTAGAGAGCCCAACTATTTTTTTAAGGTCCAAATATTTTAATTTTTTAACAAATACGTAAAAATCCTTTTAAAATCTTCATCCTAACCTAATTTATATGGTCTAGTTTAAATTGGGCCTAAGCTTAGCCCCTGTCTAGGAGCCATTTTTGGGAAGAAAATCAATTTTTGTGTCAACTCATGGGCCACACATATGTTAAAGATGAAGTTACTGTGCCATTTTTCTCTTTACAGTACATGACTTATAGAATATTCTAAAAGTCCATATGCCCCTTTATGCAACTGAGGAAGGAAATGAATTTACGGCATTGTTGGCAATTGTTCTAAACAATGACTAGTGGGTACAGTACTTTTCTGAAAGGACACGAATAAACAAATGATATTTTATTGTGCCAAACGGTCATATTTTTTCTTTTAATTCTAGATTAATCGATCCCAAACGAGCGCTTAAACTGAACAACCAAACCTAAATCGAACCAACCCAAGATTGATAAGTTCGAGTTGGTTTGGTTTTACCACCAATTTAAGGTTGGTTTGGGCTAAAAATTATTTAAATCAAATTGTTTGGTTCGGTATTGGGTAGGTTTGCAAGCCAAACCAACTTAACCAATGCAAACCCGTAGATATAGCATCTTTTAAGGTTTAGCATATTCTAACAATAAGGAGAAAATTAGGATCATGTACGTTTATAACAATTCATGCCACTGGTTCATGTAAGTATGAAAAGGATACTTATGTAGTCGCTAGTTAATCAAGCCTAACTGTATGGGTACCTACAATCTTATCAACAAACATGTTAGAAAAAAGAGCTAATGCCATGCATTCATAATCAGGTCCAACCACTCAAACTATAGTCTCTATGAACAAATCTATGATGAAGTAGAAAAGCTGGATGTACATTAGACAACCTTGCCAAAAATCAAACAAAGAGAAATTATCCAAAAATTGTACACCACAATGTTATTGTGGAAGCCGGAGAAATTGGTAATTATTTTATTGGAAATGTTTGATCAACTACACGTTCATTGTGAGTAGATTTTTGATAGGCCCCAATAAGAAATAAGGGGCAATCTGTTATAACTTTCAGTTAAAAATGCCATTGGGAGGGAAAGGGTAGTGAGTCAATTAGGAGTTGTCTATAAATGTGATAGGGGAGAGGATTTAGCGATTCATTCAAGCAAGTAGTGAGAATAGTGAGGAGAGCCAGGCCTCTCGAATGCCTTGGAGTGTCTTTCGGTTTCTGTTTTCCATTTCAGTACAATAAGAAATACAAATACAGATTTATACTTCCACGTATTTATTTTCAATTGTACTTAGTCATTTACAACATCTATTTTCCCAACCAATTTATTAACCAGCGGCTTCACAGGATCATATCACCAGCAGCATCAAATCTACAGGAACTTTACCAGCAAATCTAGGAACCTATCAAATTGGTATCAGAGCACTTGATTCTAGGAAAGATGGCAACAAAATTTAGCAAGGAAATGGAAGAGAGTTGGGGCTTGATATTGAATCGATTAGAAAAGGTGTTAAACTGACTAGGAGGAGGAGGAGATCGAGAAGACGAATTAGGATTGGATTCACAAAGGCGACTCATGATCTCCATCTTCAATGGCGATAACGCCGAGTGGTAGATCTTTAGAGCAGAGAAGATTTTCTCCAAAACTCAGTTATCGGAGACAGAAAAAATAGAGGCTACCACAGCATGATTTGATGGAGAAGCATGGAATGGATATGAATAGTTAAACCGACTATGACCACTGCACACGTGGGATGAATTGAAGAATTGGATGTTGGCTTGACTTTGCGTGAATGACCTCTCTGGTGGTGAAGAATTGTCGACAGGAAAGCTCAGGAGTATGGTATACAAGGAGACATCGATTGCTGAACAACGAGGTCAATTGGAGGAGGTTATATCGCCATCGCCATCACCAATGCCAACGCCGGAGAAGAGATCGGAGCAGGATTTAGAAGAAGTCTCTATGAAATCGTTGGTGCAGGAGAAAAGCAACGAATGGAAGATTTAAACTGTGACAAGAAGCTGACCCAACAGGCAGATTACAAGGTTTCATTTAATTAAGCACAAGACAGAATGGACATCAATATCGTAAAGTTAAATGGCTCAATCACTAATTACAATCCCAGAACTTATCAGGTCATCCCAATTTCAAGCCAGAATCATTACAATTTATTGCAATCAGAAACCAAAAAACGAGATACGAAACTGGAGAAGCAGACATAATTGGATGGATCGGTAGCGACAAAAGCGCAAGGAGTTTAAACATCGACAACAGTGCAGAAGTGGTGATATGCTGGGGATTTTTAATTAATTTGAGAATTGAATTAACTATGTAAAAGACTATAAAAGGGCGGACTACACGACAAGAGGAGGTCTAGATTTTGATTGGTGGTGGGTTGCTCACCATTGTATTTCACTTTGTCGGATTCATGATTTGGAAAGGCCCCAATGGGGTGCGATAGGTTATGGAGTTTTAATGGACACTACATTAGTGATATTGGGTCCATTAAATAAGTCCACCAACTTCCTCGGACCAAGAGACGATATTTTAACATCACTGATAAATGGGATACCTGCAAAGAAAACTGTGTGGATATATGATAAATTGACCAGACAGCCTCCACCTTGAGAACAAGGTAAATTTTGGGGCGGCAGGTAATGATAGGCCCCAATAAAAAATAAGAGGCAATCTGTTATTACTTTCAGTTAGTAGTTTGTTATTTTAGGAGTTGTCTATAAATGTGATAGGGAGAGGATTTAGCGATTCATTCAAGCAAGTAGTGAGAATAGTGAGGAGAGCCAGGCCTCTCGAATGCCTTGGAGTGTCTTTCAATTTCCGTTTTCCATTTTAGTACAATAAGAAATACAAATACAGATTTATACTTCAGGTATTCATTTTCAATTGTACTTAAACCATTTACATCTATTTTTCCAACCAATCTATTAACCAGCAGCTTCACAGGATCATATCACCAGCAGCATTCAATCCACAGGAACTTTACCAGCAAATCTAGGAACCTATCATTTTTATCATTAAAGTTTTTGCTAGCAAACATTGCTCAAAAAGAGCTTTTAATAAATAGTTGTTGATTGATCGGTTATTAATCCACACAGTGTTGTGAGTATTATATTGATTGTTTGGTAGTATAACTACAAAAGTGCTTTTGTTTTATTACTTCTACAAATACTATATATTTGTTTGACTAAAATTAAATAATTTATTCATAAATAATATTTAAGATAAAAACATATTATAAACCTTTCGAAAAAAAAAAATCCTTAAAATTCATTTAATATTTCAATAAGATAATTTGGATATATTTGGTACTTTAGTAAAGTAAGAGGATAATTTCATTAGTTGAAAAGTTTCATTACATACGGATTTTAACTTCCCGTATAAGCTGGATGTAGAGTTTTTTAAGAAGCTCAATTTTTTTAAGCTTCTCTAAAAGAGCTTTGAAAAGTTGTTTTATTAGTCAACAAGCACTTATTGACTTTAACCAAACACCTATTATTTCAACCAAAACAACCTTTGCCCTCCACAAAGTACTTTTGAGCTTTGTAAGAGCTCTTCCAAACAAACGTTTAGTTTCACTAAAGCAAAAACTAAAGTTTCCAAAGTCCTCCAACAAAGTCCTAACTTAACATTTATCCCCTTCCTTGTGCCGTCTATATCAGAAAACATACAACAGAGCGCCTCATTTTGGATACCTAGTAAGCTCATTTATAAATTAGAATAATAAAAAAAAATGGAGACTTGGCAGAACTTTTATGTAAGCATATAGTAATAGAAAATTCTTTACTAACAGCTTCACTTGATCTCACATTCATTATGCTCTTTTATGCATGTCTTTAGTAGTAGTTAACTCTTATGCATCTAATAGAAATTTCTTACTTTGCTATCCACCCTATCACTTAATTGACCATCCTATCATATAATTTAACCAAGTGAAGAAAAATCATATGCAAATCTGGCTTGTTTTCTCTATGTTTTCCATCAATTTCCAATGTTACAAAAATATCTTTTAAAATTGATCTTCTTAACATAAAACCCAAATTGGTTATCTTCTACCTTCGTATATTACCTTAATCTATACTCAATACCCCTCCCATATACATAGAAAACAAGCTTACCAGATACCACAAGTGCAGAATGCCAGCTTCTCTAAGCATCACTTCCAGTGACTCCATGCCTCAAGCTAATAAGACTACCTCGATACTTACCAGTTACCACATGCTACTCAGGATTTGGTCATGAGGCGCTCAACATGGTCATCAGTGTCGAGTAAAAAAAAATGTAAATTATTTACTTTAAGCTAGTATGTGATCCCTCCTCCTGAAAAGTCAGCATTCCTCCCATTGAAGCTCATGTCATTCCAACTACAACAAAACATAGGAGTAACCAAAAACAGTATCTAATGATATTCAATCCTCAAAATTGCCACAATGATTTCCCCAATTCATCAAATCTCGCTGAACTACATATTCTACTACACTTTGTAACTCATTTAGTTTCACTTGTTTATCGGAATTAATCAGAAAACCTGATTACCGTAATCCCGTCAAATCCCGTCCATATACATGATAGTGCTCGCACATATAATGATTCCAACAAATCAATCATTTATATTACATACAACCAGAGGCGAACCCAAGGGGGTCCTGCAGGTCCCCCAACTTTTGAGATTACTTTTTTTTTTTTTTTTTTTTTTTTGAATAAGTCATGTTCGGTATCGGTTGAAATCAAAATTTTAATCTAAATCAAAATTAATAATTAATTTTAATTATATATTTCATGAAATCCTTAACTTTTTAACTTTTATCAAAATTTACTAAAAATTTGATTTTAACCCCACGGGTAAAATCATAATAAATTTGAATTTTTTTCTATCTCTTACTCTATTTTACTTTCCTTTACACCTTTTATCAAAACTTTAATCCTTCTAATTTTTTAAAATTTGTTTACAATTTTTTTACAAATTATCACATCTACTACAATTAGGGGTGGGCGCGGGTCGGTTCGGTTCTAAAGAGAACCGAACCGAATCAAACTTTTCGGGTATCTAGTAAATGGAGCCGTCGGGTCCAAATATAATTATGGAACGCTTCGGTTCGGTTCTGTACTATAATTAAATTTTTTAACATTTATAAGAACATTATATAAATACAACTAATGATACATTCAATGGTTTTGGAATGTCAGAGACTAGTAAACTACCTTGTTCAAATGATCACTACAATCAAAGTTTCAGTCGGCGGAGGTCACGGCTTCGATCGGAGGTCACAGTGTCGACCGACGATTGTATAGGTTTTGGAATATTAGCGAGGCTGTGAGAGTGAGTGTGAGAGTCGAGACAACGTTATGCACTTTAGTGTAGGTGTTTAGGATTATTTAGTGGATTTAATCTTGTTTGGCTAAGAAATGAAACAATAAACTGGGTAATTGAGTCAAAAATTAAAAAAATTAGAAATGAAACAAATTATTGGGCCAAAAATTTGGATTTAGAAATCGTTAATTTGTTAATTTGTTTAGAAAAAATTAAAATTAAAATAATTTGATTTACTCAATATAAAAAAAAAAATTAGAAAGATTCGGTTCTTATTCGGTTCTTGGTCTAGAACCAAGAACCGAATCGTACTCGTCGGTTCTTAGTTCAGATACCCGTTCGGGTATTTAATTAGACAAGAATCGTCGGGTTCGGTTCAATCGGTTCGGTTCGGTTCGGTTCGGTTCGGGATATTTGCCCAGCCCTAACTACAATTTTCACTTGTCAATCAAATTTTCAATTAATTAGAATCTAAATTTGCATTTTCTCCTATTCTATTTGTGTCCATAGAATATGTCTAAATTGAATATATCCAATTGAATTTATATTTAACGAATTTTATTTATTTAATTGAATATTGGTTATATGTATTCCCTTTCGATCACTTGAATTGATTAAAGTGTTAAATAAACAATAAAATTTTTAAACATAAATATGAATTTTCTTGTGATGAGCAAAATATTAATAAATTGATTGTTCAAAACCAAATGGATGAAAATTATGAACAAAATATTAAGGAAGAAATTTTTTAAAATATAAATCTGCATTTTATCGGATCAATTATAAATCATTCAAAAATCAATAACAAAGTATTCTATTCTATAGAGTTTGATTGTGCCCCTTACTAAAACTTCCTGCGTCCGCCCCAGCATACAACACCTTTACAAAATTTTCAGATCAATCAACACCATGAAAACCCCTTCTTTTTCCCCATAAAACCTGGCGGTGAACTTCTAGATCTCACCAATCACACGGGAATTCTTAAGATAATACAACAATCTTCCATTCCAATAACAGAAATCACATTTCTCACTCATTAGGTTTCAATTAACAGTTCAACGGAATGTGTATATATATAAAGTATACTTACATATAAACTATACACTTACTGACAAGTAGAGTGCGAGAAAGCGTCCATTTTTGCGCCCGGCCAACGATTGAAAAAGGCAACCAATGCGTCGGTATGAATGAGTGTAGCAGTGAAACTGTTGCTATTCCTCCGATCGTCGATAGATCTTCTGCACTAATACTGAATTTTCCACTCTCCATTTTCCAATTCTTACTTTTTCTTTTGATTAGTTGTAAGTGATATTGGCATCTGCAGAAAAAATTCTACAGCGTTTGGGGAGCTTTGTGGGTTTCGGAAAATTAAGAATTTAGATATTTGCAAATTGGAAAATTTTATGGACAGAGAATAGAGTTGCCCGGTTTGTTAGCAATTTTTCATCCAAAAAAAAATTGCCCTTATTTTACTATTTCAACAATCTTTTTTGACTTTTCACGGGACACTCTCTTCTGCAACTCCTCTTGTCAAAAAAAATCAATTCTCATCACCCAAAAAATCAATTTTCATAATCACCCAACAAACCCTAATTAATAAATCATTTATGTACGTTTCTCACCTGCTCCCTATAAACTTTTGATGGACCGAGCTGCTTTAGTGGATGGCTGAACAGACATAACTACCGTTAGCTGGGGGGCCATGTCCAAGAATACATGACAAAAATGTATTTATTGAAAAGATAAATTATAGGATGTTTGGTAGATATTTTTATGTAAAAATGCATTTTTGAATAGTAAATTGATGGGAAATGTGTGGTTGAAAAATAAGGAAAATTTTTTTATTTACGTGTAATATCATTTTAATAAAGAATATGTGGTTGAAAAAAAGAGAGAGAAAAATACATTTTCAAAAAAAATGGGTACCAAACAGGCTCTTAGTAGTTAAGCTGTTGAACGCGTGTCTTGTGATATGTTGTCGACAATATTGTAAAAAAAATGATACACCAAGCATGATTTATTAACTTAATGCTTTTTTGTTTTCCTTCAAACACACGACTTCTTTAGCCCCTTCATCCGACTTTCAACTTCACCAAACGATTTGGGGGAGGAAAATGGTTTGGGTTTGATTTGGGGAAGAATCGTTTTGACATAACATCATGTTCGTGCAATCAATCCATGTTTCATATAGATATCACAGGTATATAACACAAAACATCCATATCTTTCAATATCATTGTGCAAAATATCTCTACGTTTCTTTTTTTTACATTTTTACCCTTATTTTCATATCTCAATGCGCATCAGGCTTTTTTCATCAATTTTTGATGATTTTACCCTCCTATTCAAATAAAACAAAAAGAAAAGAAAGCATAACTTTAGTACCTCCAAAAAGTTGGTTGACGCTGCAGGCCACTGGTGGGAGTCTGCATCTCGCACTAAAATAGAAGCAAAACAATGTGCTTTGACGTGGACACAATTTAAGGACGAAGTGATGGGAGTATACTTTCCCCAAGCTCTGAGAGATCAAAACGAGACAGAATTTCTTCAACTTAAACAGTGAAAAATGAAGCTTGAGGATTATGAAAGAAAATTCAAACAACTCTCAAGGTATGCACCACACCTAGTGGACACTGAAGCAAAGAAAGCAAAGAGATTCGAACTAGGATTGCGTCTTGAGATTGGTGGAACACTGGCATCCCACCAATTCAACACCTATAGCTGAGTATTGTAGACTGTCCAAACAATCTCAAATAGGTTGGAAATTGATCAATCGAGCCTTCAGGAAAGAGGAAATGGAATGGGTCCAACGAAGAGAAAGGAGAAGGATAGAACAAGAAGGCTAACTTCGGATCGGGTTTTGGACAAATCGTTCCACCTTGTCCAAAGTGCAACAAAATGCATAAGGGTGAATGTCTGTATGGGAAGCATGTGTGTTATAGATGTGGTAAAACAGGGCATATTTCCAAAAACTGCAAAAATGATATTTCGAAGAAGAATGACGAGCCAGAAAAGAAGGAAAATGTCAGAGTTTTTACTTTAGTCCAAGGACAGGCCATGAAAGATCGAACGCAAGTAATTTCGAAGATGAAATTCTCTTAAGGATGGTAGATTGTAGTAACCCGAAAATTTTAGAATAAAATTTATTTATTTTACATGCTATGTAATTACATTTTTTAAAGTTGAGGACTAAAACGAAAAATGTTTTTAAATTTCTATTTTATTTGTTCTAAATAATTAGATATTGATAAAGCAAAATTTAATATATAAATATTAGACTCATTTTATAGGTCGTAATTAATTAGAAGCATTTGACCCGTGAAATAATTATTTTGGATAAGAACACATTAAGTTAGATCCAATTGAAAGAAAATATGATAAATATCATTTTATATAAATTATAATTCAATTCATCTTCTCTCTCCAAAACGTGTGAGGTGGGTATTGAATTTTAATTTTATTTTTAGTTAAATGAACAACAATTCCAAAACCAAACTTAGGTCGCTAATATCAAAATCCACCAAATTCCCAAATCACTAACTTGAAACATAAGTACTTCAAAATAGACCATAAATACAAAGATTCAACCTTTTTAAGGAAAGAAGGGAAAGTGATTTTGGCGGCCCGTGGATTAATTGACACCTCCCACCACGTCTTTTGTAACCGTCCTCCACTTCTTGCAAACGCGCCTGCATGTAACCATGTTTGGCGCTATGGTCATTGTTCCTCACTTACCTCCAATCTCAGTATTATCTCCTCATCAGCTTCCACAACAAACTTGCAAATGCGCCTACATGTAAACACGTTTTAGCGCTATGGTCATTGTTCCTCACTTACCTCCAATCTCTGTATTATCTCCCCAGCAGCTCCGACAACAAACCTGCCACAAACCCGATTTACCAATAACGCTATTATGTTGTTCTTCTTTAATACAATCATTTTCATTTTTCAGGGTTTCTATTTCTTCTTTTTTACTGTAATTAAAACCATTTTGGTTTGGGATTTGAATTTTTTAAAGAATTTGAATTAAGCTCCCACCCTACCAAAAGAAAAAATTACAAATAAAGAAGGGGTAATAGAAAAATTGAAGAAAAAAAATAATAAATTGAGAAACCCCCGTAGAAGAAGTTGTTTACCCGTCTTTGATTAGATTGTCTTCTCACTTTATACACTTCATACTGCAGTTTCCTTCTCAAGATCTCTCATTTGACCCTCTGAGTTTCAAGATCTCAAATTTTGAGAATCAGTTTGGTAGGGTTTTCTTTGGCATGGAGAAACGAAAGCGAGAAAGAGCAAAATCCACTTTTAAGGGAAATTTTGTGAACTAGTTAATGAATAGTATAAACTAAGCAAGTGTAAAAACAAAAGTGATAAGAATGTATAGTAATCTCAACCCCATCTTTTAAGAGTTTTTTATTTTTATTTTCAAATTAAATATTAATAAAAAAATTACAATAACTAGAATGTAAAAAGTTACTTATTAGTAAAAAAGAAGCACATCAAGTTATTTAAAAATAATAAAAAACTTATAATTGTAAAAGCTACTTATAAGTAAAAAAAATATTAATTTTTCCTTCTCTTATAATTACAAAAGCTACTTATAAGTAAACAATATTAACTTAAAAATTTTTAAGTATAAATATTTAGATATATTTAGTTTTTTAAATTAAATATTAATAAAAAAATTACACTATCTAGAATGTGTAATTTTTTTATTAATATTTAAAAAATTAAATATATCTAAATATTTATTTAAAAATGTTGAAGTTAATATTTTTTTTTATCTAAGTAGCTTTTACAATTATAAGTTTTTTTATTACTTTTAAATCTTTTAAATAATTTGAAGAGATTTTTTTACTTGTAAATAACTTTTTAGATTATCTAATCTTTTTATTAAATTTAAAAACTAAATATATCTAAATATTTATACTTAAAAAATTATAAGTTAATATTTTTTTTACTTATAAGTAGCTTTTGCAATTATAAAAGAATGATGGATTAATATTTTTTTTACCTATAACTAACTTTTACAATTGTAAGTTTTTTATTACTGTTAAATAACTTGAAGTACTTTTTTTACTTATAAGTAACTTTTTACATTTTAGATAGTGTAATATTTTTATTAATATTTAATTTTTAAAAAAAATAAATAAAAATACTTATACTTAAAAAAAATTTAGTTAATATTTTTTACTTATAAGTAGCGTTTACAATTATTAGCTCGTTTTACTTTTAAATAACTTGAAGTGATCTTTTTAGTTATAAGTAATTTTTTACATTTTAGAAATAAAGAATAGCTATTATGTAAAAAAATATTTAAAAAATATTATTATTAATAAAATTATAGAATATGGTCGATAGTTGATAGCGTGAGAAAATGAGGAAATAGTACTACGTGTTATATTCAAAGCACGACGTCATTTTTTGTTCAACAAATTTAAAAAAAAACCTACTATGTGAAAAAATATTACTATTAATAAAATTCTAGGATATGGTTGATAATTGATAGAGTTAGAAAATGGAGAAAGATTATTGTGTGTCAGATTCAAAGACCAAACTAGTTTCAAACCTGTTCAATGTGAAAACCGATATGACAAAAATAAACGGTAAGATAAGAAGTGATAATATAATAAAAAAATAAAGCACTTTGACCAAACCCATTTCAAACCAATTGAATGTAAAAATGCATGTGACAAAAATGAATTGATCAGCTTTGTGCAAAAAAAAAAATAAATAAATAAAAAATCAATAATTTCCACTTCCCTCCACCAATAGAAAAAAAATTGAAATTTTTTTAAATAGAATAAATTAATATTGAAAAAATTTTAAATAGAAAAAAATTTCTCCTTTCACTGAGAAAAAAATAATTGAAAAAATTAAATTCAATCATAAATAAAGAGAAAATAATTCATAAAAATTTTAAATAAATTTTTTTTATCTATAATATCAACAAAACAAATTACAAAATAAATAAATAAGAAAAATTTTCCCCCCATTGAATAGGATCTCTCTGTGAGACTTCATCTTACGGAGAGTTTTACTCCTTGAAAGGAGAATTAAAGGAGGGAACTCTCCTTTCAAAGAGTAATTTTGTTCATACGATATAAAATTATTCTTAATTCTTTTATGGTAAAATTTAATTTTTTTCAATTTTAATTAATTACATCATTTTTATATATTAATTATTTAACTTTTTTTAACTTCATTTTATTTGTTTAATTTGGTTTAATAAAATAATCTTTAGACATTTTTTATGATAGAATGACATTCGTAATTTGAATTAAATAATATTTATTTTTAATTTTAAAAGATAAGGAGTTTAATTTAAAAACTTTATAATAATTTTTTTTTCTATTTTTACCTGCAATTCCTTTTTTTAATAATCTTTATATTTAGTTTCGTTTCTTTATTACACACACGTGCACGCGCGCGCGCGCACACACACATATATATATTTATTTATTTATTTATTGACTTCCATCAAGTGAAGTCATGTGTGAAAATGGATAAATATTGCAGTAGATGTGACATTGCAGCGAAATGGCATGTGAAAAAATGCTACAGTGTGATTGAATAGAATAATTTACTATTACAAAATCAGTTTCATGTGACAAAAATGAACAGTAAACCTTACATTCTATAAGGAGGGTAAAAAAATATTAACCTAAAATTTTTTAAGTATAAATATTTAGATATAATTAAATATCAATAAAAAGATTACATCATCTAGAATGTAAAAAGTTACTTATAAATAAAAAAATCACTTCAAGTTATTTAAAAGTAATAAAAAATTATATTTGTAACAACTATTTATTTATAGATAAAAAAATATTAACTTCAACATTTTTAAGTAGATATTTAGATATATTTATTTTTTTAAATTAAATATTTATCAATAAAAAAATAACTGTATAAATAAAATTTTAAAAAATAAATTATCACCACTCTGTGCATGGTGGAGTGAGCGGAATCACTCCATGCACGAAGTGGTTACAAAAGGAGAGGATGGAGAGATTCTTTTCGTCCATGGAGAAATTTTTGTTTTTTTAATTTAATATTTTTAGTTTTAATTATAATATTATTTTATTTGTTTTATTTTTATAGATTTTTTATGATAGAACGACATTCGTTCAATTTGAATTAAATAATATTTATTTTTTCCTTAAACCATTTAAATTATTTAAAAACTTTATAAATTTTTTCTATTTTTGTCTGCAATTTTTTTAAATAATTTTAATATAGAGCCTCTATTTGTTTCCTATTCTTTACTCATTAAAATGAAAAATATGATCGTTGTCTATCACATCAAGTCACCAAATTTGAATTTCTATTTTTTGTATGAGGTTCATAATAACTATATTTTTCATTCTCATTCTTGTCAAAATGGAAAACAAATGTGGTCTTAATTTCTTTTCTTTATTATATAATATATAATATTGCTTTTTATCAAGTGAAGTAGTATGTGAAAATAGAGAAAAATTGTAGTGAAGATGACGTCGCACTGAAATGATGTGTAAAATTGGTGAAATATCGTGTAAAAAGAATGCTACAGCGTCATTGATAATTTACTGTTAACAAACTAATTTCGTGTAAAAAGCCATCTGATAAAAATGAACAACAAATTTGACATTCCCTCTTTTAAGATAAAAGATTGGTTGGGGCGTGTGGGGAGCCCGGGGGGGGGGGGGGTTACCGATACGGGACAATGACTCGAGAGAGCGACGTAATGAGCCGTCCCAACTAACGAGAAAAGTGTTTCATTCTGACCTGAAAACCAATGGTCAAATTCTCCATCTAATGTGATTTTATAGTTTCTCGAAGGATATCCTCATACTGAAACAGCTACTCAACTTCTCTCACCCTTGCTGCGCATTAGGGCTTCGTCTTCACTCTCCACCACCGCCGGTGATAATTCATGGCGGAAGTGTTGAATGCTCCGGTGGAAAATCTCGACAGCCTCCGGGAACGGAACAACAAAAAATCATCCGCCGACGCCGATCCCGGCTCCTCTTCGCCGCAGCCTGCAGCTCCACTGTCGCGCCGAGACCGGGACCGAGACTCCAGAGAGCGACGTAATGACCGAGATTATGACCGGCCTCCCCGCCGGGAGTACTACGACCGCAATAGGTCACCCCCTCCTCCGCCGCCACGCGAAAGGGACTATCACAAGCGGGGGAGACCGAGCCCGAGTCCACCTCCACCGCCTTATCGGGACCGACGAGGTGGTGGACACTCTCCACCTTCAAGACGGTCGCCTCCATTTCCACCATATAAGCGTTCGAGGAGAGATGATGCATATGATGGGCGGAGGGGCAGTGCTAGTGGAGGTTATGGACCTGGAAATCGAAGGTTGGCCTCGTAAATTCAGCTGTCCAACCTTTTTTCCTCTGTAATTCGTATACTCAGAATCTTGCTATGTTAGCCTACCTCTTTATCCTATTGCCCCGGACTGAATTGATATTTTTTCCGGTAAATTTTACGATTTAAGCTGCTTGATGGTTGAATTGCTTAAGCTTGGGGAATACTCATGCGGTGTTTGATTATATATGTGTGTGCATCACATTCTAAATAGTGTCACTTAGCTGTGGACAGCAATGTTAATCTAATTGGTGGGTTAGTCTAACGCATCTCACTCGATTATGTACTTCTAAAGATAACTTGTTATTTATTATTGCAAAATATTTGGATTTTGTTGAACTGGGTTATTTATTTGTTGGTTGTGGAGTATAGTTTTTAATGTGTTCCCTCCTTTCCAACTTCCTCCTTTGTGAAATTAATCCAAGCCTTCACAATCTGTTTGGATCTCCAAGATGCAATTCAAGAGTTTTGCTGAATGTTGCAGACCACTTCTTATTCTCCCTCTTGTCTCATATGATGTATAGCTTTTATTGTGCAGGTTTGGATATGATTATCCTGGTGGGTATGATAGAGAGATGGGTGGTAGACCTGGTTATTCTGATGAACGGCCTCATGGTCAGTACCTGGGTTGGTCATCTGGAGGCTACAGAAGTGGTACATCTGGTAATTGCGCGCACCTTGCTTTCAACATGCTCTAATTCTTAGTATGATATGATTGGTCATAAACAAAGGTCACAGATTGAGCGTACACATTGTTTCAGGTGATCTTGTCAGGAATATGAAAGTAGAGTTGCTACCTGCAATTTACTTTATTGTCTAATTTGCCACTACTTCCCTGGTTTTGGTTCAAATGAGTTGAGATGGATAGTTCTTTGCAGAATTCTATTCTAATCAGCAGAAAATTAGAAAATGACATGAAAAACAAAGAAGTGGAAATAGATTCTGCCCAACTGCCTGGGAAAGGGTGGTTGATGTGGATTCCTTTTTTTGTTTGGTGGGGGGTGGCGTGATGAATCTGGTTAACTTTGCCTTATTTTAGGTGGTGCTTATTGTGGCTTCATGAGAAACCAATGAATCTAAATTTTGCATGAAGACTGAAAAACAGGAATTCTTTTAAACCGTGAATACAAAAAACTTTGTTGGAGAAGTGGGTCCATTTAGGACGTGAAAGTGAAAAGAAGGAAGATTATACAAATAATGGAAGGTCATAACAGAGAGGCAAAAAGAAATTATTAAAAGAAAATTGAGATGTCCAATGTTTAAAAAGGTATCATCGAGTACTCAAGACTTTTTTCCTGCATCAGGCAAGGCGTATGCCTCACCATAAGTCAACAAAAAATGTCAAAAAATTATTAAAATGCAAAATAGGCTTGTAATACATCACAAACAATCTTTAAAATTCATAATAAAACAATTTAAAGTGTGCAAACCAGCAAAAGAAATATCGACAAGGAAACTATTATTTTAGTTGGTGAGGGCAATGGACTATCCTCACAATGCCACAATTTTTTAATGTTTTACTGGTAGTGGACTAACCAAACCGAAAAGCGGTATATTTCTTATATACGAGACAGCCCCGCCATTCCTCACTCAAGATAAGCACAAGGAGGAAAGAACCATTAGGGCCTCACAATCACTGGTCAATAGGCTTTTCTGATGTAGGATCAATTGGGATTCAGCAGTTAAATTACAACCAGCAGAAAATCAGCAGCAACATAAGATGAAATAGGCAGCAACAAAGAGGGAAACCTTAGGCCACAAGCCCAGCAATTTACTTCATCAATTCATCGTCTCTTCAATTACAATTGACAACCATAGAAATAGTAAAACATAACCCTACTAGTGATGGTTTTGGGCCAACCCAATAATACAAGCCCAATAACTAAAAAAACATAAGTAAACGGTCCACAAGAAAATATGATGGTTCAAACAAGTGATGTCCTCATCATATCTTTCATGCCTTTTTTCATTCATGGTTCAATATAGGCACAAGGAGGAAAGAGCCAGTGGGGCCTCATAATCGCCAGCCAATAGGCTTTTCTGTCATACCTTTCTTTGTTCATGGTTCAATATTCTTGTGTCCTGGGCGTAGAGGAACCACACCCAATGAAAAATTCGAGAAAAAATAAAAATTTTTGTGATTTTTACCCATGAGTCACTTAGAAATTGAAAAGTTGGATTATGAAATTGCAAAACAAAATTTTTGAATAAAAATGGGTTTATCAGGTTTATATGTTTCGTGAGCCACAAGCCTTGAGGCGTGTTCCTCAAACAACAGAGTCATATGCCTCCAAAATTGCCACACTAATCAGCGCCTTGAGGCCTTTTTCACATGTCTCACTCTGAGGTTTTCAGTTGGGTCTTTTAAACCATGGAGATGTGAGATTGCCATTTTTTAGCAACAATAGTCTTCTTTGGGTTGTATCTTTACTCTTTTTGTTTTTAATGATATGATCTGTTTGATCTGTGCCAGCCAACGATGCCAAACTATTGGTTTACTAGCTTCACTGATATTTCATCCTGCAATTCACTTCAAATGAGACCGAAACTAGTTAACCCCGTCTGTCTTCCATTAAAATGACTTTTTTGGGAAAAATAAGTTTTGAAATAGTGATTTTTTGGAGAATGTGTGGTTAAAAAGTAGGAAAAAGTTTTGGGTTTATGTGCAAAATATCTTATTGTGTGAATGTGTGTTTGAAAATGAGTTTTAGAAAAAAAAAAAAAAAAAAGAATTTGATTCAATGGGAAAAAACATGGGCTAAATTTGCTAATATATCAATATGCATTGCTCACGGTTTGCTATCTTGTTATTTGTTCTGTACTTGCTACTTTTGTATTGGCATATCGTCAGCTTGTCGTATAGCTTTGCTTCACTTTGTACATATTATTTGAATGCAGATTGGGATTCTGGTCATGACAGTTTTGCTGATGCTTCCCACACCACGAGCACCCAAAGGTGCATACCGTAAATTTTGCTTATTATTTAGTTATTGCTGCCAAGTACGAGATTATTTGGAAGGAAAAACTTGGTGGCAGCATTGGTGCTGATTTGCTGTTAATTGATTGCTAAATAGTTACTTCCAATTTGATCATAATCAACAGAAAAATTCACTTGGTTTATTGGACAATTCTCCAGTTATACAACTCTGTGCATAGTAAATTCATTTTCCAGGGAAGGAATGATGTCATATAAGCAGTTTATTCAGGAGCTTGAAGATGATATTTTGCCTTCTGAGGCCGAGCGTAGGTGAGATTGGCAAGTCTTAAGAGTCGTAGGTGTTTGATCTTATTTGGGTTTACTCTTGTTCCATGTTGGATTTAGTTTCCCATTTCATTTTCTTTTCATAATAAAATAATTAGTCAAGCATGATCAGGTATCAAGAGTACAAGTCAGAGTATATATCAACTCAGAAAAGGTCTTATTTTAGTGCACATAAAGACGAAGAATGGTATGCTTCCTTTTTGTGGTTGTTGAACACGTCTTCACCTGTTCGTTTTCTGTGCTGAACACCTATTTGATGATAGTTTTTTATCTGTTCAGGCTAAAGGACAAATATCATCCAACTAACTTGCTTGCTGTCATTGAAAGGTGTGCTCTGATGTTTATTAAACAGAAGTTTTCTGTAAGGCTTCAGGCAATTTAGTACCTACCATGTGAAGTACCTGCTAAATTGCCATTGCTTTAATCTGTTTTACTTCATGGTTTCATATTTTCTTATTTTGGAAGATATAATTAATGGCCTTTTTAGGAGGAATGAACTTGCACAGAAGTTGGCAAAGGATTTTCAACTTGACTTGCAGAGTAGGACATTGGATTTGTAAGATGGACTTTTACATTCTTTGGGTTTTCATTTTCATCCCGTGGCATCTATTTTTGGTTTGTTGTATTAATATGAATGATTTTTCTGTGTGAAAGAGGTCCTGCTGTTAATCCCTCTTCAAACAAATCAGAACAATCCAGTGAGCCTAATTCTGAGGATGAAACAGACATGGGCAGCAAAAGAAGACGACATGGTCGGGGAAGTGCTGAAGAGTCAGCTGCACCGAAGGCCCATCCTGTCAGTTCTGAGCCCAGACGAATCCAGATCGATGTTGAACAAGCTCAGGCTCTTGTTCGGAAACTTGATTCAGAAAAAGGAATTGAGGATAATAAATTATGTCGCGTAGATAATGATAGATCAAGTAGAGATAAGTCTCATAGTGGTTCAAGCCGCCCAGTCATTATTATTCGGGGTTCAACTGCTGTCAAAGGTCTCGAGGGAGTTGAGTTGCTGGAGACACTTCTTACGTATCTCTGGCGCATTCATGGGGTGGATTATTATGGAATGGTTGAAAGAAATGAAGCCAAAGGTCTCCGGCATGTTAGGGTGGATGCAAAGAATTTTGACACAGGTGGTAACGGGAGCGAGTGGGAGAAGAAACTGGACTCTTATTGGCAAGAGAGGCTTAAATCCTTGGATCCTCTGGAAGTAATGACTGCGAAGGAGAAGATAGATGCAGCTGCTACTGAAGCTTTGGATCCCTATGTCCGCAAAATTAGGGATGAGAAATATGGATGGAAGTATGGTTGTGGAGCAAAGGGTTGTACAAAGCTCTTCCATGCTTCTGAGTTTGTCCACAAACATTTGAAGTTGAAACACACAGACCTTGTCATGGAACTGACGTCAAAAGTGCGGGAAGAATTGTATTTCCAGAATTACATTAAGTAAGAGCTGCATTAAAATATAATTTTTGTTGTCTGGGGTATGTTATTGTGATCAAGGTTGTAACTATTTCTTATTGCAGTGATGAAAATGCACCTGGAGGAACACCAATCATGCAGCCAACTATTCTGGTATATTTATAATGAATTCTTTTTTCCGCAATACATTTTTTATCTTTGTTATCATTTCTGTGCATTATTGGCATACCTTCCTTTCTGTAGAAGGAGAAGCCACAGAGATGTATGCCTGGTCCAGGTAACCGAATAACAGATGAAAGGGGAAGCCGTCGAGAACGTAATAATCGTGCTAATGGAAGCGAACAATTTGATATGCTCGAGAACCCACTGTCCCGGGATTTTCCATCCAATAATGATGGTGCACTTGGAAACAATCCTGACGAGCCAATGTTTGACACTTTTGGTGGACAAGGCATACCTATTGCTCCTTTCCCTTCAGATATACCTCCTCCTGTACTGATGCCTGTTCCTGGTGCTGGGTTAGTTCAGTACTTCTTATTGATTATTTGGTAGTGGCAATGCTTATTGTTACTGTATCGACAGGTCATATTTTCTATTTTTATAGAGTAAATGTATGTTTGTGGGTTGCAGTCCATTGGGGCCTTTCGTTCCTGCTCCTCCTGAAGTTGCGATGCGAATGTTCCGAGACCAAGGAGGTCCTTCCCCTTATGATGTCGGTAGAAATGGAAGGTCAGGGCCCCAGGTCAGTGCGCCTGCCCCAATAATAGCTTTACCTCCATTCCGACAGGATCCTCGACACTTGCGAAGGTCAGCTGTTCTTCCTTATATTTTTTGTAAGTGGACACAGATATACCAAGTAGTGTGTATCAAGGTACTGAAGTTGAGGAAACAATTGGGGCTGGGGCCTTTTAGAGAGCCAGTTGTGTGGTTTTAAATAATTAGTTCAGTTTGCAAAACATTCAGCAACCTGTGCCATATAATTACTGCACATTTTCTGCAAGTTGAATGAGATTGAACTATTTTACTCTTAAAACACTCAGGAGCCTGGTTTTCCTGCCTCTCTTTCAGACAATCATTTTGATGTGACCTCAAAACAAGTTTTTGGGAGCCTCTTCCAGGTAGAAAGTAGGACATCCCTTTGTTTTTCCACCCAATGCAAAAACCAATAATTTACTATAGAAATTATCAACCATTTGCATATGGATCTGTATTTACCATCCAGTTTCTGAGCAGGGGATGACACTTCTTGATTGCATTTTAGATTACCCTAGTTTCATTTTTTGGCTTAATGGGTTTTTTTATGAATCAATCTTCAGTCAGAGCTTGTGCCTCTAGATTAGTTAAGCTTAATTCAATAAATTCTCTTACTATTCATGGCTGAGCTAATTATCATATAGAATCCTTACTCTTGGTGGGCAAGTGGCAACTTGAATATTGACCATGATGTTAAATGGGATTCAATTCAGTTTAGGCGTGCAATGTTTTTGTGGAATAAAGTATGACAGGAGGATGGATTATATGGCAAATAGTTTGATCGACCTTCTTCTCAACTGAGCCATAAATGAGACCAAGCATAGTCTGTGATTGGCTAGTCTTTGTTGAACAGTCGGGTTGAAAATTTCTGTTGTCCTCTAGCCTGCTAATAATCTTTTTGGCTGGTATGTCTAAACTGTAGGGTACACCTGAGCTGTTTATTGAAACACTCTCTCTCAACGAAGATCCATAAAATGAACACATGGACATCTGTTTATAACTAATCTTTGTAGGAGTGTGCTAATGATACTGTTGGCTAGAAGTTTCGACCTCATCATTCTAGGATCTAAATTTGAAACTTCTGCTAGAAGATATCTGCCAATTGGATGACACTATATAAATTCCATTAATAGTCATTGAGATGGTTTAGGAACTTCAAATGTCAACAAAATATATCTGCATGTACTGGCCTTCATATTTTTCATTGCACGATGGAATTTCTAACCTGGGTTTGAAATTTTTTGCAGCTATAATGACCTGGATGCTCCAGAAGATGAAGTAACGGTGATCGACTATAGGAGTCTATAAGTTTATATGATGGACAAGCAATAAGAGTGCGTTGCTTGCGTTCCACTTGAAGATTTAGAACCGAAAAGTGCACATGCTTTATGATCTGTGAAGATGAGGTGATGCACTCTACCCGTGCATGTGCTACTAGCGTTGGCTTTTCTCTTGCTGTTAACATACAGTCAGATATGTGCAGAATCGAAGTGTGCATATATTATGAGTTTTTGAGAAATTTTTTCCTCCCAACCCCAGAAATGTTTTCTAGGTATTCAAAGGGGATGAGTGCCAAATAATTTTATTTTCAGATATTTTATTTAAAACTTTTGTTTGTTTTTCTTTGATCACATAAAGGTTAAAGAAGTTGATGTAGTTGGTAGGGGTTGATATTTTAACTGGAATCGAACCAAAATCTCTTTCAATTTTGGTCCGATTCTAGAAAAATTAGGAACCGGAGCCAAGAATTGGCCGAGTATTCATTTGATTCTTGGTTCTTGAACGGAACTGTGGATACTCGATTCTGGAATCGAATTTGTCTTTGTTTATAACTTTTTTATTTTTAAAAATTTATTCACCATGGCTCGGGCGCTCAGCGATCGGATGGAGTGCCAATGAAACGATGGGATGGAGGGAGAAGTTGCCCCATTGATTGTTATGCTATATTTGGAGGATTTATTTAGTTGTTTTCATTATTTATAGAATCTAAAACTTGTTGGTTTTTAGTTTTGGTTTGTTCTTATCGTATGTAATTTGGTAATTATGCTTTGTTAGATGTTAAATGCTACTCCCTTCATCCCATAAAAGTAGTCCTATTTCATTTTTCACATGGATTAAGAAAATTTAGTCAATATCGTTGAAACAATAAATTTTACAATCATTTTTCCTAATATACAACTACATTAATGCAATCAATATTGAAGGTATAAAGGATTAATAGTAGAAAGTGCATCGAGAAGCGTTTTTATGTGCGATATATCTTCCTACCTATTGAAAATTGTAGAATACCCTCGTATTTGAAACCTTTTGTGCAAAAAATTCCCTTCCAGTCAAGATCTATCAAATTTACCATTAAAAACAGTAAAAAAAAATGTTAAAATTAAAGAGAGATGATTGCAATTTTAGTACCCATTTTTTTTTATATAAATTGAATCCAAATTTCTTATACGTGCCACCTATCATCTTAAATCTTTTTTTTTTTTTTTTATAGGTACCTATCATCTTAAATCTTTAAAACTTTATTTTTTATTTACCCGTTTTCATCTTCTTCCCCAAAAAATTTCTCTTTTAAATAAAACCAGAAAAACAATAATTCCGTCTGTATGAATTTGAAGATACATTCTGAATTTTAACACTGTTTGGGCTTGGAAATGTGAAGGATAAATTTCTTTTTCACGCTATAATTGAGAAAACCCATGCTTGTGAAAAACCCAATTCAAAGAAATCTCATATATAATCAAATCAAAAATATACATTATATGGAGCGAATAATTTCTTTTGCAAGATGATTTTATCACGCAGCTGTAGTTTCCTAGTAAGCTGGTTTGGCAGGTCGAGGTGAGGTGGAAAATAAAGTTTTAAACGTATGGGATTGTGAATGGTACATAAAAAAATTTGATTTAATTTGTGAAAAAATAAACAGTTTGAGTACTGAAATTGCAATTGTTCATTTTTAATCTTGACATTTTTTTACTATTTTTAACGGCAAATTTGACGGATCTTGACAAGAAGGGGGATTTTCACATAAAAGGATTCAAACAGGGGAGTTTGTTGCGATTTTCAATAAGTAGGGGGTATATCACACATGAAAACGTTTTATAGAGAGTTCTATTATTAATCCGTAATTAAATTATATTTGTGATAACAAAGCATATTAACTCTTGTTTGAGCTCTATTTTTTCATCAAAATACATTTTTTAACAGTGATTTGACTCTACTTCAATCTCAATAAAATAATATGACACTTCATTATTTTTAATAATACATTTTTCATTAATATACTATTTAAAAATGCATTTTTTGATAAGAATGAAGCTCAAACAAGCGCTAATAAGGGTATATTAGGAAACTAATATATTAATTACACTATCAAATAAAAAATATGACTATAATTTGAGACAGACGAAAAAAGAAAATATGACTATCTTTAGTGGGACGGAGGGAGTATATGGTGGCATATTTGCAGTGAATAAAAAACGTGTTGAAATATATATTTGATGATATATTTTACATGTTTGAGCTCCAATTTTTTTTTTTTGTGGATAAAAAAGTTTTGTAATAGTAGATTTTGGAGAACGTGTGATAAAAAAGTAGGTGAAAATTTTGGGTTTACCGTTTACATGTGAAATTATTTTATTTGAAAATAAGTTTGTGGAAAAATGAATTTTTAGATAATGAGACTCAAATAGGGGCTTTATTTCTTTCTTTATTTTTTTTTTGGGCTAAATATTAGAAAGATAATTTGTAGTGTTAGTTTACGGTTTAAAAAAATGTTATGGGAGTGAATCGGAATCGTAGTTAACGGTTTTGTTTCGAGTTTGATTCTAGCAACTACGTGAACTTAAATGATTCAATTTATGAAATCTCTAAGCCCCAGTTTGATGAGGATTAAAATAAGATTTTTAGCAGATTTTGATAAAAGTTAATTAAATATGTGATTGAAAAGTTGTGAGACCTATAAAATATGTGATTAAAATTAATTATTGACTTTAATTTAGATTAAAATCTAGATTTGAGGGCTAAGGTGTAATAAGTGGTTCTCAATATTGGAATACACGAGTTGATCCACTTGATGTTTAGGCCTAGCAGTTGGATTTAATTTACTACAAATCTTGGAATAACAAAACTTAGCCCCTTTTGAGAACCATTATTTGAAATCTTATTCCTAAATACTCATTTCCAACCATATTTATATAATAAAATATTTTACACGTAAATTCAAAATTTTTTCCTATTTTTTAACCAAGCATTCTTCAAAAAATCACTAAAATATTTTTAATTTTTTTCAAATAATGATTGTCAAACAAGGGCTTAAAAATTTTACATGGTTCTCGTTTAGATCAATTGTAAACAAATTCCGTTCTTGATAATTTTAATGGATTATGCCATTTCTACCCCCATTTTTGCCACCCTTGTCAACCCGCGGTGCTGTAAAAAAATCATTATCAGCAAAAACTATTTTTTGTTTAAACTATACCAATAAGAAAATGTCGCATTACATTGTGTCAACTAAGGTATAAAAGAAGATGTACAACAAGATGATTAAATTTTAATTCGGCTACATGAATTTCTTTTCACCATTTAGTTTAGATTTGTAATATAATCTTCTTTTCTGGTGTGTTCTAACTCACAACATGCACGGTGCGAGGTTTGCACCCTTGAGACAATGACAATACTTTAGTACATTACTTAATTCTGAGCATTTTAGAATAAGAAGAGGAGTAGGGTATCAAGAAAATATATATAATATTTAACTTAATTTGCTATATAAGTGCTTTTTGTGTGTTCAAAATCAAGAACCCCATTTTATGAATGAACAACAAAGAGAACTTCACCATTATAACAATTCCATGGAATTATCGGTTGAATCCAAGAGATACAAAAATTCCCTGAACTTATTGCAAGCAGATTCTGGCAAGCATATGCATAGAACCATTGTACCATTAGACTCGGCCTCTCCTCCTTCGGGCAAAAATAGACAAACTTGTGGAGTTGGAGTCAAATCAATTGGGCCAGCATATATTGGCCTACCCCATCCAAAATCAGCAGATTCATAAATTGAAAATCTTGTCCATTGTGTTATCGTCAATTTTCCACCAAATTCCAACCTCTTTGGCCTGCTTACTTCAACATAGTCTATTGTAGACCTCAAATATTCCTCCGATATGCCTAGTCGAGCCTCGTGCACCAACCGGGCTGTCTCTGAAAGTTGTCTGTTGACAAGCCTTTGGACCGTACTTGTCGCACACGCCACACACAAGGCATTGCCGTAAAACCCGTCTTTCAAAGATGGGTTTTTGAGCTTCTGACGAGCATTGACGGAAAATGTCAGACGAAGCTCGTAATCGAGAGGCTTTACATCTAAAGCCTTAACCCAAGATCTCCACACATGAGCTGCCATTGCATCGAAGGATGTGCAAGAGAAGTTTCCATCTGATTGTGCTAAGTTTTTCACGTGGATTTGAAACTCTCGACTTATTCTGTAGCATTTCTGGACGGGTTTGACTTCCCATAGACTCTTCGTGAGGCTCGAACAATCATCGAATCTCTTGAACTCGGTGTGTGAAAATTCGACCTTCGGTGGATCACGGGGTCGAAAAGTTTCTCGATCCCAGCAAGGGGTCGGGTTTATAACCAACGACCCGGTTTTTGCTGTTGCAGCCCATGCACTCAGGAACTGCATTGCTCCAAGCCCGTCACAGATGCAATGACAAATTCTCAAACCAAGGCTAAATCCACCACACCTGAATTTAGTCACTTGTGCTATCAATAATGGCATGTCAACAACTTTATACTGTTCTTCATTAGGAAATCTGTATATCAATTTAATCCATGCAGGATTTGAAACGCTTAAATCTCCCAAATCAGCTAAGGCCACATCCGAACGCGCCTCAACTAGAAGTACTCCTTGATCGGGGCCGAAAAATACTTCTAGCTTCCCATTCTTCGTCTCCCTTAACCTCCCAGAGAAAGGATAATATGGCACTAATACGCTTCTTAAAGCATCGCTTAGTACTTTCATAATCGGTTCATGATGGAAATGCCACTCATTCAATCTGTAAAAGTATATGGTTGGAGTGAAAACACGTGCTCCAATCATGTCATCAAGATTCGAGAGGTAAAGGGTCTCGTGGTTGGATACAGGAGTCAGGATCTGAGAAATATTTTCTATTGTTATTGGAATGTCTAAATGAGAAAAATGAAGTTCTTGAATCCATGGAGCCATGGGAGAGAACGGCTTTTACAAGTAATTTGTAGATGATACCCGCTTATAATCTCCATCCATCACTCGTGTAAAGATCAGATCCTAAGCACGCAAAGATCCCGAGCTAGATGAGGTATTCATTTGGTGTAAAACTGTTGGTATTAATATATAATACTACTAATGTTAAATTTTGTTGGTGAAGTTCTGTTTATTCATAGGAAATATCATTCTAAACGGATGAGCATGAGTAGTTGGAAGTAGATAAAGAACTTCTCTCCAAATGGTAAAACCAGACATCCTAATATGTTTCACTTCACAAAAACAGGTTCAAAAGTTTTTAAGGTCAAACATATTACACCCTCATAGAAATTGTGCCTGCCAACCAAAAACCATAAATATATACTATTTTACACTGGTGAACTGTACCTATACATATATTTTATTGTCCATATTTGGTTCGTTGGATTGTACAAAGATGTTAGCTTCTCCTTAATAATGTCCAATGCTATCATCTTACCAAACATGTCATTATTTTAAGCATGCAACTAAGGCAAATCAAAATCTCTTACTTTCCCAGCAGTTTAAGCCTTGAATGAAGGCATATCTGTAACAAAAAGGCATAAAAAACCTGAAGGATTGCTTCCAAAGTTAGATCTAAAACATTTTGGAAAATAAGATATGCAGTCTCCAACAAGCATAATAAGAGAACTCTCAAGGCATCAGAAATTGAAATTCCATTTCAAAAATACACGATTACCCTAGCCGAAAACCAAATTTATTAAGCTGGATGTAGAAGGGTATGACATGTGAGCGCCGTGTCAAAAACCAAAAGAACACACGATTCATTCAGAAGTCCAATTCATGGTGCTAATTCACAACCTTCCCCAACCGCAAGTCTTAGTATCAATTCTACGATTTTCTCAGAAGCAATCAAATGATAATCAAGAGAATGAAATGTACATGCTAAACTCCAACTACTCAAGAAGAGAGACATGAAACGTAAAAATAAAAAGCAAAATATATTGTACGCTACCACAAAATATGCAGGAGAATGAATAATTCTCCAGTTTACAGAATTATACATGTATAAATAAAATGTTGATAATGAAGAATCAACACAATTCACACAAAAATATGATGAGTACCAAAGATGAAGCATACAGATACATGGAGAATCGTTGTAAAGGAAATAACAAAACACGCAAAGATTTGTTTGAATTCTAAATAAGTTGAAAATTACAAAAGCTGATAAAAATATACTTTCATGTATCATAATAACAAAGATTAAAAGAACAATAGATAGAACAATCAGAAACTACAGTGTTAGGTAATTTGTTGTCAAACGACCTCCCCGGGCGATGATATAACCTCGGTTTTTTATTATCAATCGGCCTTGGCCATATGATTGATTAGTACATCGACACAATTATCGAAACAACACAATCCACATTTTTATGGACCGTTCGAAGCAACCTATTTTAAAAAGTGTTGCTCACGGTTTCGCTCCATTCCTTGGAAGGCTATATTATTATTTTTGAAGCCCACTTAATTGAGTCGAGCCTTGTTTTTGGTCCACCACTTAACCCTAACCTAACTGACCTATTTTGGACATTTACTTGGCATATAATCCCTTCCTTCTTCTCGGCCAATTCCCTTTCTCTTTGTGAGACTTCCTCTCAGCTTCTTCTTCTACTTCACTGTGACCTTTGTGGTTAATCTTTGTGGGCACATTATTGGACTTCTCCTTCTCCAATTTATAGCAACCGGAGTGAGGCGACGACTGTGGTGGTTTTGGAGTTGTCTCAACCTTGGTAGTGTCGATGTTTTGGTAAACTAAGCCCGATTTTGCACTTGGCGGAGGTGGAAATCAACCCTACATCTGGTATCAGAGCGCTAGTAACTTTTCCCAGCCTGAAAATCAGCAAAAATCGGCGGAGGAGTCGCGGGTTTGGGTGTAAAACCATGACTGCAATCCTCATTTCCGGCCAATCCAGTCTCTTTCCTGCGAAATCGATCTCATATTCGGGACCAGCAGGCTGAGGCGCCCCTTCGTGTGTGGCGCGTGGCGGCGATTTCGGGCGAACTTCCTTCGAGCAGTTTGTTCATTTTAATCCCCCGAACGCACTGACACTGTTTATTTTCTGTTTCAGGTTATACAGAAAAAGTTGGACAATTTTGCCCCCGGTGGATCGACGGTTGAAACTGCATATATCTACTGAATTACTTTAGGCCAAGATTGCGGCCCTAAAGCAGTAGATTCGCATCTCTCTCGATTATACGGATTCAGACACGTCCACTCTGGTAAATAGGCTTAACCCGTTAATTTTTTCAGCATTAGCGCGTCACCGTGTGGGGTGACAATAGGTTGGGGGTTGTCATTGCTTGACAACCATTGCTTATGCTAGAATTAGGGTTACGTGCTCTTGATTGATCTTTTTGATTAAGTATTTGTTTTTGGATTTAAAATCAGTCTTGTAATTCTTAGTGATCTAATTACTGTGGGACTAGTTATCTGTTAGACGTATTTTTGCTGCATTGTTATTTCCACTGCTTACTTATTCCGTTAGAAATACCGTGACCTTACCCTTTCGAACATTCCCTTGATCTAAGACCGCGAGTCTTACGAAACCCTGGGAATCTAGAACGGTGTATATTGTCTGTGACCCTTAGGATTACTTTGTGTGGTTTGATTGTGGTTTGTGCATTTTTGACTATTGTGTGAAGATGATAACTCACAGTTTTGATTTGGGAATTTTTAACGGAAAGGATGACTTTGCTATTTGGCAACAGAAAATGAATGGTATTTTAGTCCAACAAAAGGTTTCAAAAACCATTGAAGGCAATTTTTCAACTAATTTTTCACAAGAACGAAGAGAAGAAGCCGATGAGCTTGCTTATACCTCAATTATTTTACACTTGTCTGACGCCGTTTTAAGAAAGGTGGGTAAATTAAAAAACACTAAAGAACTTTGGAAGAAATTAGAAGACTTGTATTTGCTTAAGTCTACGCTTAATAAACTTTACCCGCTTGAACATTTTTTCAGTTTCAAAATGGATTCCTCAAAGGATCTTGATGACAATTTAGACGTGTTTAACAAATTGGTGCAAGACATAGTTAATTGTGATGAGACTGTGTCCGAAACTTACAAGGCTATAATTTTGCTCAATGCAATCCCTGATTCCTATAAGGAAGTTAAGAACGCCATTAAGTATGGTAGAGACACGTTAACTCCTGAAATTGTCATAGATTCCCTTAGAAGTAAAGAAATGGAAATTAAGGCTGAAAAACATGATAAGGGGAATGGTGAGGTACATATGATGCGGGGTAGAACTGAATTTAGGCAAAATAGTTATGAGGGATATCAAATTAGTGGCAAGTCAAGTGGTAATGGATGGAAAAAGAAGAGCAAAGGTAGGTCTAGATCAAAATCTAGGACTAAGGTGAGAAAATGCTAGGGTTGTGAAAACACGGGGCATTTTATAAAAGATTGTCATAAGAAGAATGATAAGCTAAAAGCTAAGGAGAGAGATGAGGTAAATGTGTTAGCATCTACTTTTGATATAAATGGTGGTGAGGTCTATATGATTACAAGTCCAATTGCATACACTGCCGAATTAAATCTAACTGCTAATTCCCGCATCCATGAGTGGATACTTTGCCTATACTATTGCTGAAATTGGTGACATAAACGTAAAATTTGACATAGATTTTGTGTATACGTTAAAGGATGTTAAATATATTCCTAAATTGTCTAGGAATTTGATTTCAGTAAGGAGACTTGTGAAGGATGACTTTATTGGTAAAATTGAAAATGGTATGCTAAAAATGATCAATGGTGCTTTAGTTTCCATTAAGGGAATTAAGAAAAACGATATACATTACTACTGGGGAAGTGATTAGAGATGTAAATTCCTCTATCTCCTCTGCTAAGATTGATCACACACATACATGGCACAATAGACTTGCTCACGTAGGGGTCAAGGGACTTAAGCTACTTAATGAAAAGGGTACTTTTGGTAATGACTGTGTGTCAGATTTACCATTTTGTGATCATTGTGTGCTTGGTAAGCAGCTAAAGGCATGCTCGAATATGTGCACTATGATCTTTGGGGTCTTGCCAGTAACCCCACATCGGGTGGTAATAGGTATTTCCTGTCTATAATTGATGACTACACTAGGAAAGTGTGGGTCTATCTTTTGAAGGATAAATTTGAGACCTTCAATAGTTTTAATAATTGGAAGAGACAAGTGGAAAACTAAACTGGCAAGAAAATCAAATTTTTAAGGACAGATAACGACCTAGAATTCTGCAATAAAGAATTTGATAGTATGTATAAAGAAAGCGGCATAACTAGACATAAGACCGTTCCCTACACCCTTCAGCAAAATGGGGTAGCAGAAAGGATGAATAGAACCATACTTGATAAAGTACGTTGCATGATGATTAGTTCGGGTGTTCCCATGTCATTTTGGGGTAAGGCTGTTATGACTGCTTGCTATTTGATTAATCTTACTCCTTCTGCTGCATTGAATGGTGACACTCCGCACGAGAGATGGTCGGGTAAACTGAGTGATTACTCGATACTTAGAACTTTTGGCTGTACAGCCTTTTCTCATCAAAGTGAGGGTAAGCTGGAACCTAGAGCTAGGAAGTGTGTTTTCCTAGGATACCCCGAGGGTGTTAAGGGTTATAGGTTATAGGATAGAAGCCAAAAAGAGGTTAAAATCATCATAAGTAGAGATGTCACGTTTAACGAAAATGAGATGCTATGTATTAAAGGGAAAACTGAACCTGAGAGTGAAGTAGAATCAGGCGAAGAGAGAGACCAGTTTAAAGTGGAGTTAGGAAAACTCAGTCCACCTGCCCCTACTGTTTCAAATGAGGTGGAGACTCAAACTCAGGAACACGAAGTCGAGAATAGTAACGAAATAGTGACAGAAGAACACTATGAGGAAGAAAATCCTTTAACTAACTATAATTTAGTTAAGGATAGAGAGAGGAGACAGACGAGAGAACCTAGAAGGTTTGGTTTTGAATCTGAATTAGCTTTTGCCCAGGCTAGTTATGAAGAACTAGCTGATAAAGAGTCAAAGACCTTTGAAGAAGCAATGGGCAGTGATCAATCTAATGAATGACTTAAGGCAATGAAACAAGAGATGAGTTCTCTAGAAAAGAATCATAC